CCGGGGCGCGCTGGGGGGTGTAGTTCCCGCCCGCTGGGGGAAGGGACGAGCCCCCATAGCTCCCAGCGCGTCTCAGTTTAACGGGGCAAAGGAAAGTGGCATACGGCGTCAACAGAAGGGCACTTTGTACCCAACTATTTAAAAATAAAGGAGGAAACAAAAACAAAACAAGAAACCCTCCGGAGGCCGGCAGTGGAAGGAAAGAGCTGGTTTATTGCTGTTACATGCAGTTGTTACAGAGTTAGGGCAGGGTGCACCAAGGGCTGAGCCCTCCTGGAGCCTGTGTAGGAAAACCCCTGAGCCTGTATCCCAGATCCCTCCCATGAGGATGGCTCAGCTGTCCCCCTATGTATAAGACACAGCTTACCCACATGCGTGCTCAACGGCTTCCGCAGAAAAAAGCGGCCTTTTTTGGCAAAAAGAATTAACTTTCTGCTTTTAACACAAGGAAGGCCCTAGTCCAAGCTACTTTTGCCTGTTTCTCTAGTGTCACGGCTCTGTTAGTATTATAGAGTGTTTGATAGCATTAAATAACAAGACTTTACGCAGTTAAATGCCAACAAATATCAGGGCTCTTACTTGGCACAGCTCTTGGGGTGTTATTATTTCTTTGCATCTCTTTACGGGTGCAATTCTGCAGTCCTTACTTTGTGTATTTGTAATTAATCTAAGCTGCCCTGGACTCTACTGTATTTATTCAGAAAGGGTCTGAAACTCTAGGCCAAGTTTTTAAGTTGCCTTAAACTGACCTTCGAAGTGCATGGCTAGTTTGCACGCCCAGTTCATTAAAACACTATTTTTCACCTCCAAACTTTTCTGTGCACAAAGTCATTATACTGGGTATGCAGGTAATGCAGACATAACTTTGTGCGTAGATCACAGTTTGATGTTGCAGACAATAATATACTGGAAATGAAAAGAATCTGCTTCTGAAATATGATTCTGCCCTCCGAAACCTAAGTGAATAAGCTTTACTTAGGTGCTTTCTGCTTTAATGAATATCTGTTTTAGAGATTATATACAATGATTATGGTATTTCAGAATTACTGCAATTTACAGTGTACCTTATGCCACCTAAAAGCCATCACCAAGGTCTACAGAACTGGAGTTATAAAGCTGAAGTCAGTAAGAATGTGCAAGGCAGGACTCCTATTCTGTATTACATAGCAGTAAGTGAATATATTCATGATGGGAAGTATGATGGAAAGATGCGACCTGGTTACTACAAATGATTATAGTTATTGTAAACATTCTCATCTTTCCCTTCCATAAAGTAAAATAAAATAAAACAGCTGTAAAGTGCTCTGGAAGGCTAAATAACCCAGAAGTGCAGAGTGGGACTGAGAAACCTGCTCCCATGTTTTTCCCATTTTAAATATCGCAATAAGAAAAAATCAGAACCCTTCATTGTTTTTCATATCTGTCAATACTTTAAAATAATTAAGTAACCAGATTCCAGAGTTTGCATACAATGTGGCCTTCAAGCAATCTACCAAATTATCTATTTGGTTCCTGTTTAACTACTAGAAATATCATTTATTTCCCATATACAGCATGCAAATACTAAAAGCATCCTTGAGTAACAACTTACGTATCAACCACCTAAGAATCATAATGTTGCTGTCAAATTCATGCACTTAAATACCATAATCTAGTCCCTGGCAATGAACCTAAGAACGGTGAAGTTGTTTAAAAAAAAAAAAAAAAGAAAAAAAAAAGTTTGTAGCTGGGCAGGGGGGCAAGTTGATTTTGAAGCATTCGATTGTCACATTTACAAATTTTTTTCTATAACCACAAAAGCTAGCAAATTTCAAATAAAAGATGAGGTTCCCAAATAGTAACCTGATTTTAAGGAGAGCTGTCAGGAAAAAGCAGCCAATTATCCGCCACTTGGGAAGGGATCACAAAACTGCAAGAGAGCCCATCCTCTCCTCCAGCCCTGACTTAAAGTTAAGTATTCATGATTGAACAAGTATTCGTGGCTTAAACAAGTATTCCGGCTATTGATGTGAATAAATTCTAGAAGGCCAGACTGAAAAACACTTCTCACTCTTCAGAATTTTTGTCTTCCCTGCTTTCTTCTGTGAAAATCTCTCTTCCGTCTGTGCTATTAATTTCATCGTGTGAAGATGACTCATCTGCTGGCTTCCCTTCACTCTCACCAGACCAAGCATCTCCTGTGACCTGGACAGTGCTAACATTGCCCAGCTCCGGTGCGGAAGGAACCGGCACATCCATCGCTTCTGTTCTTGGGTCTTGTGTTATGTCTGAATATTCAGCTGGATTAAGATAAAAGCTCTCAGTCCCTACTTCCACTGGGGCAGTATGACTGTTCCTTGCTCCTCCTTCCTCCACATCTAATCTCTTGTCTTCAGTCACATTTTCAGTGTGCTCCTCTGGTTGCAATCTATTGCTTTCACAGCTTCCAATGCCTGTGTACAAAACACTTTGGTTATTCTCCGTCTCTGTCTTTACCTCTTGGGATGTACTGGAGATGTCCACCAACCATTCTGCTTGTGCCATATTGCAGGCTCTCCCCGACACAATCACTAAATTTGTACTATCCGTCCCTGGACTGGATGGAGATAACCGGTCCCCCTTGAGCTCTGTGCACTCCGCATCTTCATTCATCAGGTGGCTCACTTGGCTTTCTGCTGCAGTAACTTTGCTCACCTCACTACACCGGTTATCGTGCTCCTGCTCCAGCTTTGAAGTCTCACACTCACAAATCTCTTTCATGTTCTCACATGAAGTACCTGCTGTTAATTCAACTGCTACCATCAGCAAACTCCTTATTTCATTCACATCATCAGGAGGTTTAACACCCTTTTCTTCTGACTGGCTTGCTTTCTTAGTCATATCTCCAAACCCTTCTTTCACTGCGTTTTCACTCTGTGAAGTAACCCTGTCTTCAGCGACTTCTCCTTGGTTCTTCCTTTCTTTTTTACAATCCTCTCCAAGTCCTACTGCCTTTTCACCCTGACAAAATTCTCCCATAGCCTCTTCTTCTACCTGGGTTTTCTTATCAACATTCCCTAAAATTTCTGCTTCTACTACATTATCTTGTGGAGAAATTAATTTTACCTCTGCAACTTCTTCCCATACTTTGCTTTCTTTTTCTGCATTGACTACAAACTTGGTTTCTGTTGCCTTTTTACTCCCAGATGTTACAGCTTGCTCCATCGTTTCTTCGTGTACCTTACATTCTGTTTCAGTGTTGGCTCCAAAATTTATTTGCACTGTGGTTTCTGTCTCAGAAGTTATTTTTCCCTCCACAGCTCCTTCTTGTGTCTTAAGCTCTTTCTCAGGTGTCTCCACAAACTCAGCTTTCTCCTTATCTTCATTCTGGGAAGTTATTTTTTCCTCTGCAGCCTCCAGCTTCTTAGGAGTATATGGAGGGGAATCCTGCTTTTCGCGGATGTCTGTAATGATCACTTTTTCTCTTGTGCTTGCCTGATTATCAGCCACTTTGACGGTAACTACTGCCTCTTTTTCTAGTGACTTGCCATCACCACGATCCTTCTCCCAGGAATTTTTTTCAGTCACAACAAGTGTTTCCTCACTTTGAGTTTCAGTATCTGGTATTTCTGCTCTGGTGGTGGAAGGCTTCTTAGCAGGAGTGGTTTGAGCTGATCCTGAAGGAGTCTTCAAATCAGTTAAACTGGACACACTTTCACATGGTAAATTCAAGTTATCTTCAAAGAGGTTGTGTTTCTTCAGAATGGCTGCTTCTTTTATTACTGAGCAAAACAGAAAGGAGAAAGTTTTTTGAGAAGGCTGACAGAGGGGCGTTTAAAGAAGATGCACTATTTTCCTGTATGCCTGATGTTATGCATTCTAATGTTATCGATAATATTAGTAATAATCTTATATATCACGGTATATACCAAGAATTATTTTATTTTCTGATGTAAAACCAGAGAGGTCTGTAGAGCATGCTGTATTGACATCAGTGATTTACTGATGTGCATCCAGCAGTACATTTTATTTTGGGAAATTCATTTTCACTGCCATTAGATGTCACCAAGTCTTTGCAAATACCAAGTTCTGAGCATAACTTAACTTCTTGGCCCATGGATTCAAAAAGAAATAAAGGTGGCATAATTATTTTGTTAGAAATTTTTTGTTAGAAAGCTATCCCAAGCTTTGTAAAGGTTCCATAGGGATTCACATTTATAGGGTTGCCATGCTGCTTTAATGAGCTGAACCAAAACATAGAAGCCTCTTAACTGCAAATGCTTTGGCTAAGCTGGGGCATGCATGTGAAGCAGCCACGTTAGGGCTCTCGAAAGCCTGAGGCAAGAGCTCACAGGCCACTGGTCTGACTGCTGTTACTGCCACCTCGGAAGCTGTCTTACCTTTCAAGGTTTCTTCAAGCAGCATCTGATACAAAATCTCTTCATAGACGTTCTCTACTTGGATCACACTAGTGTAATCAGCAAAAATGAACTGCTCATATTTCTGCAGCTCCTGTGCAGGCACACAAGAAAGGAACAGAAATAAATGTAGGTAAGGGATATTGAGTGTCCTATTTCAACACTGAATCTTGGAGATGCCATCTAGCAGGTCTTGTAATGCTCCCTGCTGTCCCTTGAGGTGAACTGCTTGAACTAACTAAATTAACTATATATGCTCACAATTTATTATGCACTCGTCAACAGTATTTTTGCACTACAGTTACCTTTATAAGCACTGCATTTATAGCAGACCATGGCCATCTGCTCCATAATAAATAATTCTAACGTCAATAGATGGTGAGAAAGTGCCTCAGTCATTGCTTGTCCTGGGAGGCAAATTCATGGTGAGCATGGGAGATAACTAGAGTTTTGTTTTTTTAATGGGTGTATAACAGTTTTAGCTTACTGATATATACATAATAGTCTATGTCTAGACAATAACTGAGTCATTATCCCTAGGAAGCTGCTTGGTGGTCTATAAAAATAAGTGGAGTAACCTCTGCATACTTCTAAATGAGGAGCTTTCACACAAATATCTTTGTTTTCTAGTAGGAGACCAAGGCTCGAAGGGGCATCTATCCTCAAACACTCCCAGCTGAAACTTGAAAAAAGACTCATTTTGTAAAATGTTGTTTAAAACCTGAAACAGGCAAGAGACAATCTGCTCGAGCAGCACAGCATGGGTGACACAGCTCATGCCCTGAGGGAACCACTGAACATCAGCCAACAAAAGGGCAGAGGTGCCAGAATGGTTTAGGGCAGCAACCTTTCAGCAGGTACAGCGAGAGGATACCATGTGAAGCCCATGGCATATCCAAGTGAAAGCCTATTTGAGTCAACTGTTTATCAGCCACACTAGCATATCCAAGTGAAAGCCTATTTATTTTGAGTCAACTGTTTATCAGCCACACTGATTATGTCTCCCCGAAACACTGATAGCTGGTGCCTGTTGCCCAAGATAGCCCTCAAGGGAGTCCTTTGGGCAGCTGTGTATGTTTACAGTGGATCCTCTGGGCTCCACTCAGGAGGAGAGCTCCCTCCCTGAGCCACCAAATTGCAACCTGCTGGGATTTCAGCAGAGTGGCCAGCTCCCAGGACAAACTCATAACCTGGAGACTGTCAGATCTGTAGAAAAGTCCAGTTTTGAGGGGACTCCAGATCTCTAAGGAAGAAAGAAAATCAAGAAGGAGCATGGGCCTACAACGATCTTTGAGAAGAAAAGTCGCAAATACAATTTCCCTGTTTCCTGAATCTCCACTGGACTCTCAATCCCTCATCCTGCCACACCAATGCACAAAATGGCAAATCTAAGCATTGCCTGGCAGAGCTGGCGGCCAATCTATATGATTCCTTGAGGGGAAAATAGCTTTGGATAGTTTAGGATTTATTGCCAAGCTGTTAAGTCCTTCCTGCCTTTTATTCTCTAACCACAGATCAATAAAGTGACCTACTGGTTTGCATGTTGAAGCCAGCGTCTTCTGCATTGTGGGCAAAGTGATCTGTATCAATGCTTCTTGAAATATCTTCTTCCGAACAGTGCTGCTGTCATAATCATATTGCTGCCAAAAACAGACAGAAACAAACCAAAATGTGTTTGGTGCTGTTAATCATTAACAGGAGGACCTGGTTCTTGCTGACCTGTAAGTGGTGACAGGCAAATCCCATAGAGCAGCACATCACAGGAGCACTCAGGGTTCAAATTCTCCTGCAGATTATTCCAGCTTTTGCAAAAATGCTGAGAGATTAGGTTCTGTGTGATGCCTCTTCTGAGGCTAACTGAAATACTAGGCACAGGCTAATTCTAAAACTACTATAAAATGATTTGTCCAGATCATCTCCATCTGATTTAATTGCAGTTAGTAAGACTGCCGAGTATACACTTTTACAGCTGTCTGACCAGAACTAGATTTTATCCTCCAAATTAAGACAATCAGTTAGTATCTCTAAAATCACTCTGATTGGTACTTCAAGTCATTTGCTTTAAATAAAAGATCCTTTTTTTCTCCACTACTTTTTCACTTCACATGGTCGTCTATGCATCTGCTAAGTGTCACCAAATCAGTATCTTCCACTGGATGGCAAGACATTTCTTCTCTGAAATACTGAAATAAATTCACATAAAAGATATTTTTGGTTTTCTAAAAGGCAAGTTTTTCTGAACAAATACTGTATTAATATTTACCTTCAGTACTCTCAGCTTGACTTTTTCAATGGTTGTTGCAATTTTCGCTGAGTCGGCTTGGCGACTTGGGGAGAACAACTGCTCAAAAGTATAAACTGCATTTTCCATCAGCTAAAAATAATAATAAAAAATTGTTAAAGATCAAGGCTAATAAAACATAGTTTTCCAGTAAGAGAAAAAAAATCTACATACATAGAAAAACATGGCAAATGCAACTGTTAATTTGATTTTTTGAGAAGCTGAATAGAACAGAAAATAATCTGCCTAAAACCAATACATTTTTTTCAAGTACTTAAAATGATTGTGGAAGGAGAATAAAAGCCTTGTTTATTTTAGATTTCAACAATTTATTTTAGATTTGGAAAGTAAAAAGAAGAATATGTTACACTCATGGAAGAAAACAAGAAAGTGAAATGACATCACCTCTTTTTTTAAATCCAATTTATCCAATAGACATTCAACTTATTTTGTCCGAAAACAGTGGATTTGTTGGTGCAATTCAACCTAGTTTTCTGAGTGAAATAATATACTAGCAGGAGTTTTTTGCAGGCTCAACTCAGAGAATGAAATAATTTCTCATTGAGCTAGTAGGTTGGTATTTGCCCTACTTTCAGGCTATCCACTGATTCATTACTATAATTGAAAACTAAATCCATGCTCTGAAAACATACTTCAGAAAAACAGTTCTGCAAGTGGTAATTACATTTATGTAATGTGAGTTTTCATCTTTTAGCTATTCAGATTTGTCATTCAGATTTTAGCATATTCATATCGAAAAAGTAGAGGGACAGCCAGTGGAAGGTGTCGATCCTGCTGTGCCTTCCTTTGCACTGCTCAGGAGGATCCGAGTCAATCTGCACAGATAGCCACATGCCATTCACAGATCTTTTTGTGGTTTGTAAGTGAATATGTACCTGCCTATGAGTAAGACACACTTTCATTTCCTCCTTGGTTTTATATATATATATACATATTTATATGCCATGACAAATTTTGGCAAGAGCGATTGTTTTAACTTTGCAGCTAGCACGATATTAGATTGTAGAGACTATTTGTACATGGAAACGCAGAAGAGGGACCTATGTTCAATCTGTGCATGCATCAGAAGACCATACAGTCAAGAATTATGCACTGCAAGATCTTGGTCACAAAGGAAAAAGCACAGGATCAATTTTAGCATTACATCCAAGGCAATTTAAGATGAAGGACTCACTTTTTATCTGATTTTTTATTTGGACTAAACAGAAATTGTCATAGCTCTAGCAAAGTCACCGGAGCTGTCTTGTTCATGTCAGCAGAGCACTTATCTCCCCAACTGCAAAACATTAGCCGCTAGGGGATGCCAACCTTTCAAATCCTTACCTATCCATTTAAGGAAGGAATCCTATTCCAACCCCCTAATTCTTACCAAGGGAGCTAGGGTAAAGCCACAGCTTGCTTTTAAACAAAGACAATATGACCTTAGGCTCTCCTGACCTTGCATGTTAACAGAACAGGTGTTATGTCCACTGGCATAAAGTGGAACCACTTACTATTCTTATAAGATACAATATCAGCCCTTTAAAGAGAGAAGCAATAACAGCTTTGGCAGAATAATATGTACTCTCATTTAAGCCATCTGACTCATGTTCCCTTCAGAAAAAGACTTGGCTTGTAAGGAATGTATTTTCTTCATCCTTCTTGGTTTTGACTCATGGTCTTCACTTAAAGACATTTTTTATTTGAGCAGCACTTCAGAATGGTCTCCTGAAAGACCAGTCATGAAAACAGATTTTTATTTCTAAATCATTCTTGGTATTAGAAGAGCTGCTTGTAGAAACGCCTTAACTGAGAACTGTGCTAGAGACTTGATTTCTGTGGTTGTAATTCCTACTCCACAGAACTGGACCAGTCCCAATTTGTGAGATAACATGATGAACTGTTTAGTTTCTCAGCTACTGAACAGCACCACAGAATGCAAAATAGAGCAACAAGGCCTCATATGCCCTGCATATAGCTCCTAATAGATTCTGGCCAGGCATCCAGAAAATATAAAAGCAAAACAAAATAAAAGTCTATGCAAATATACACTGGAGGGAAAAACGAGGTGACATGGTTCCTTTTCATCCCAATGATGTAGTGACTTCAACCATTCAGATGAAAACTGAATTTGGCTAAAGCGGCTAAATGCAGGTATATCCTGAGATGTCATCAGCAGTCAAGCAATTGGCTATTTCTACTAGTACTAACTGCCTATTTTATATTAATGAGAGACCAAATTACCAAAGGAGGAAATGTAACTTTTTTTTTGTAAAAATCAATTCAAGATTTTCCCAAAAAATTAGCTTTTGAGAATACAGTCAGGCAGAAAAGATTCATATTTATATTTATAAGGTTGAGTGTAACTGGGTTTCTAACTGTGATTTTATTGGGCTTTGCTATCTGTACTTTGAGATACATTCCAGCCTCTTGCATAGCTTTTTATCAAGATTACTTTGAAGTGAGTTAAAAGGACAAACCTAACCTGTTCCAGGTAGGATTTTTCCAGAAGGAAAAACTGGATCTTACAGTACCTCTTGCATGAAGTTCTGCGTCCTCTGAACCACAAAATCAATGTGATAGACCTTGAAGCGACTCTTGAGATCCTGAAGCAGTTCCTGGAGGAGGTTCACTTTCAGATAACAAGGCTCCATTTTCACAGAGTTGAATGGTAGCTTCATAAGCTGGTCCACATTCTGCATTTCAACAGGGAAGAACAGGTTTAGAGAGTAAGCAACCAGGGTTGAATTTTTAATATACAGGGTAACAGTAGCCCTAAACAAATTCTGAGATCTACACTCCACATGCACAAATACCACATGACTTTAGATGATAAAACCAAGCACTAATGCATTACAATACAGGAAAGCAATTATTGCTGTCAGCTAGGTTCTAGGCAGAAAGTCCAAGGGCAATGCAAAAGAGTTCAGAATCATGTCTTACCTCCTTCAACTTTGTGGTATCATTTGTTTTCTGGAAGTTCTGGATGATTTCATTAACTTCTTTATCAAAGAGCGAGCGGACTTCAGTGAATCCCGAACTCACTGGGCCCATGAGCTCCTCCAAAATGGAGGTGAGAAATGGCTGAATATTTTCTGTGCAGCACTTCTGGGCAGGCTCAGAAACAGTGGCTGGAGTGTCAGACAACACAAGGGATGCATCTTAGGCCACTAATAGATATAGTGAAAAATGTCATACCGATCCACTCTAGAATGGAGCCGCCGACCCAGTATTTTTCACTATTGTCATCCCTCTTCAAAGATGAAAGGCGAGTTGAGGGCTTTAAGAGTGGTAATGAAATACCTTCTCCCGTGCCCCAACTAACCACACTCTAGCATGTTAGCTGCCCTGGGACAGAAGAAGAAAGAGCAGCTGCAAATACTGATAAATACTGAGAGGTTTGTATGGAACATGGACATTGCAGCTTTTAATACGCTGTATAAGGAGTTACTTGAACTTCGTACTTTGCAGTTCAGTGAAAGCATCTTACTCTATTACGTGGGAATATTGACACAACCTCCACAGATTTAGCAAAAGAGCTCTTGAATTCTTAGGTGTTCATTGACAGCTTTTGTTTGCTAGCTTGGGCAGCATCAACTAATGTTTTGCCTATTTTTTACAATCACTTTTATATTCTTAGTAAAATTATAATTTTTCATTTCATATTCACTTTAAACCACCTAAGCCCAGTTTAAGTATTCTTTAGTAGCCTGAGAACCTGTCACTTAATCATAACCTGTTTTTGTGGAGCATTACTAGACATCAGATCAAAACCCCTATGCTCCTCATCTTGCTTATAAAACCTGTATCTTCATTATAAAGGGCTATCCAAGTGACAATGAAAGCAGAATACTCAACATCTGTCTGTGTTAGCTCCAACTTGAGACAACTTTGCATTTCCATAGATAAGAGTTACCAGAGGTAACAATTCCCACCAAAGGCAGCAGAACCTCAAGGCCTTCAGTGTTTTCTAAAAATCAGTATTTCCATTTGGATTTTCAAAACATATGAGGCAAAGTAAGGCAATGACAACTGGCAATTTGAGCAGCATGACAGCAAACGTTTAGGAATTGCTCCAAAACACAGATGCTCCCTCACTAACCTTTAATTTTTCCAGCCAAGAAGTTCTTTGAGTTCAGAATCTGATCCATATCTGAGCGAATGGTTGCTTCAAGAGTTTTTGCAAAATCTCTACATTCTTCTTTCAAGGTACTTAGTCCTTCAGAAACTTGCTGCTGGACTAAGCCGTATGTTTCTTCCACAATCTAAAACCAAATTAAATTAATAAGCACTGATCAGGTTCAGCACATAGACAATTGCTATGAGAAATAGCAGGGCTGCAAACATAAGTACTTACACCAAACCAGGCCCGCTTCCTATCATTCCTCTTTCCTTTCATTTTGGGCAGGATCATCGTCTGAAGGTTAGGTAGAAGTTCCTCCATCACAAGGTTGCTTAAAATCTACGTAGTCAAAACATTAGAATAGCACATTCACTCACTGTCCTTCCTCTGAAAATGGTGTGCTTGCAAAAAAAGTGCAAAGACAGGTACTCCCAAATATACAAATGCCTAGGTATCCCAGAAGGACTGTATTTAAAATACTACCTATATCTGTGGGAAGCTTAGGGAACTGAGTTTGTTCAGCCTTTAGAAGAACTGCTGGTCCAGGAGAAACTGCAGGTAACCCACATACAACTTTTCAGCTGTCCTCGAACTCTGGATATCTAAGGACACAGCACGTATAAAGCTGTCCACAGCTTCTGGAAAGTTTTGAACTGCAGTGGACATCCTGTAAGTCCCAGAAGGACACAGTAACCCTGCAAAAAACACTCACAAAATACATCTTGAGGTTCTGTATGCTTCTCATTTGATCTAGGGGAAGGATAAGTAGTTTACTCCATGGTTTCTATAAAGCAGAGAAAGCCCTTCTTCCTTTTACTGGGGCCTTGAACAAAGTTTTTCTAGGCAAATATGTATTTGAACCCAGCTCTTCTCCTCGCTTCAACAAGAGGCCTACGACAGTTCTCATTGAAGGCTCACAGCCCCAGGACTGCCAAAAACCAAAGGCCTAACGTAGCTCTGAAACTAATGAGTCACTTTAAAAAAAAATACCATGAATAACCCGTAATAAAAATCCCACAAAACCCACCCTATAGCTGGGGTGCCACAACATAAAAGTGGCAACTGCTTGAACAGATGCTGAGGTCTCTGAGCTGTCAAGCAAAGTTTTTTAACATGTGCTCGATTGAATTTAAATTTCTCTGCTGAAAGGTGTGCTTGAAGGGCTTGCTTTTTAATGCCTTATCTAGATATCCTTATTTACCCATATATTATTCTACAATAATGCAGTGCTGATCACTGCAGTTACGTCAGTGTAAAACTTAAGTACACACACTAACTCACTCAGGGTATGGACATACTCATAACAGTGGTGTCAAAAATTTCAAACCACCCCCCCATGAAGTGTCTTCCTTCCTTCTGTTTGTAGCCCTCTCCTTCACCACTTACCTACCATTAGAAATACCACCTACGACTCCAGCCAAATACTTTTTAGTAGGTCTTCAGATGAGTGTATCTTCAGTTACTATTTGTTTTAGCCTATATCTTTGGCTTAGGCAGCACAGCGTGAGCTAATGACTACTTCAGCAAATCCTGGTGAGACTCTGTGCCATCATAAAAGCGTGTTAGTGACTATTTATTGGCACTGCACAGAACTTTTACAGCAACAAACTTGGAGACTGGTTGTTCCAAGCCATTCACTCAGCTTGGATATTTGCCTAAAACAATTATTATGCTTGGTTGAAGCACGCATGAGAACACACTAGGCTTACGGAATGAATTATTACCAAAAAGATAATAGCATTAACTGTCTGGATGTCTTCTGATTATAGCCCTCTTGAGGCACATGGGTTATGAGTAAGCAGTTGGCCAGCAATGGCAGAAATAAAATACAAGTGAAACTAGCAGTATTTAGTTCCATGACTTGAGGGAGGAGTGAGAAGAAAAAACCCTTGCAGATATGTCAAGGAATTATGTCCTAGTTAATCCCTTCAAAGCAATGATGGAACTTCTTATAATAAAGTATTTATTAGAGGTTGACATGAAACCTTGATCTCTGACATGAAGGCCCAGGGGAGGATTGTGTCTAGAGATTCTCCTCCAATTCCCACATTTTTTTCAGGCTTGTCAAGGTAGGCTTCTCCTAGAAGAATAATCTGGTTTGCTAAACCAAAATGCTGACTCCTGAACTCCCTGTCAGGCTTTTTCCAATTTCCCAAAGGAAAGCCAGATTTCATCACGAAAACACCCAGCAGCTGGTACTGAAGTAAATATTTGCTGCTGAGCACTCCATGCTTTGGAAAAAATGCATAAATCAGGACCTAAGTAATAACTCGGTTGCACTAAAATGCATTTGGAGTAATACCCTAGAGATCAACAGTTACTTTGGCTAATATCCATACTCCAAGCCGATTCATTGAGGTGCTCAAAGTTTATATGTTTAGCCTCCCACTTCTTAAATATTGAAGACTAAGTTTAGCCTCCCATTTTTTAAATATTGAATAGACAAACTTCTGGTTCCCAAGTGTGATAGTTTTGCGCAGTAACAATTTCAGGAGTCTGGAATGAGAACCAGAACAACGAGTTTATGCACTCGGACTAAAAGCTTGGTTCACAAAGCAAGGGGAAAAACAAAATGAAGACGTTCTCCAAAATTTACACTTAGCTGCTGCTGTGGCCTTCGTAGACCCTCATCTGCTACAATGGCATTTGGAGGCATTAGACCAAAAGTAATTGCAAACTGTTGTATTTAGTAACAAAGACAGTAGCAATCAAAGGAAAAAAAAAAAAAAAAAAAGCTCTTACCTATAGAATAGCAATTGCAGAAATGTAGAAAACCAGAATGCAACCCAACTCACCAAAATGTGTATTTGCTGCATGCAGACAGTGTGCAAGTTTGATGCTTATTACTTTTGGTTTCACTGATTTAGCGAAACCATAAACAGCAGCAAATGTGCTTTAGCTTTAGGTCCAGCACCTATCTATTCACCACCGGATTCTGTGGCATCTACTGTAATTAAGGCAGATGTGTGAACTTCCTGCGGAAACGGGGCCATCCCTACAAGCCTGCACGAGCTGCCCGACACCTTTGCGAAGCAGCACCCTTTCTTTCACTTTGTAGTAAAAATTCACAGCATGGTTAACTAAAAAAAAAATAACGTTTATATCCTGAAAGTTTATCAGACAGAAGTATCTTTGGCAATTGTACGTATTGCACTTTCTTAAAAAACACCATTTCTTCCCCCAAGAGGCCTTTTTCTGTCCTCATCAGCTCTGTAGTCAAAGCCAAAAAAAAATTAGATTTTTGTTTACCTGTTTTTCATTGCCAGTGATCATTTCCCATGTCCCATAGTGGCCTTTCTCCTGACGGAAGAACTGAATGGCTTCTAAAAATGCCTCCACTTCATAGGTGGTCTGCTTGAGAAAATCTAAGCAAAACAAAAAAGCAACATGGGCAATTCACGAGCAAACAACCTTTGAAAAATTAAGCAGCATTCCTCCATCCAATTTTCTAGTGTATGTGCATCCAAGCAGAGCCTCACGATGCCACCCATAGATGCTGTCCCCATTTTGCGGATATTTGGAGGTCCACGGACATTAAAATATCATCAGAATGTCCACATACTTAGGCTGCTCAGAAGAAAAACAGCGTCCAACGCCAGCTTTAATGCAATAGCCTGCAATTCGACCTGGGAAACGGCCGAAGCCTGATGTCTAAAAGTTTTTGCGTGCAGAAAAGCCCCAACTCAACATTATTTTGACCACGAGAGGGCCAGGTGGCGCTGCCCGTGCCAGGGCCAGGCCTGGCTGGCTGCAGGGCAGCGGGGCCCAGCGCTCGCTCCGCTCCGAGGTGACTCACATGTTTTCCTCGCTCACAGCTGGGCTCCCTCCTTGTGCAGCCGGATGACAGAGACGGGAGGCGCAGCCCGCGGGGCCGCTCTTGGCCGCCGCTGCCGCGATGCTGTGCCAGTTCTCCCCGCGAGGAACAGCCAGTTTTAATCCCAAGATCGGGGAGTGTTTTCCCTCTCCTTGGAGCAACCTCGACCCCATGCAGAAGTGGAAGGACGAGGTGGAGAAAACAAGCGCAATTCCTTTCAGTCTGCCCAGATCTCATGTTCTCCCCCATGCACAGCAGAAAACCACGATTATTGCCACCTTCTTATCAAAAGAGCCTAAGGTAAAAAGGAAGCTCTGTTCTTCAAGGCCTACTGCAAATTGCTTAGTTTATGGAAACTTATTTTCCAGAGAGGGAAAGGTCTGCACTGGCCATCGGGCACTGACTGTGCCTTGAACAGTTCAGAAGTCTCCAAGGAGGCACCTAACTTCGGAGGAGGGACCTGCAGATGGCAGAAGGTTGTTCACATCCTCCAGGACCTCAGCAAGGACAAACACGGTCTTCAGTAAATGGGACATACCAGTGTCTGGAGGGACACACGGCGCACACGAGGTCTGCTCCTCCAACATGTCTCTGCAACACGCACACTGTCTGTAAACCCCACTCTTTCTGGAAGGTTTTTAAGTGACCGGCGCAAATTGGATGCAGTGTGACCCTGAACGTCTCCTGAGGGCCGGCAGGAGGACGGAGGCAGCAGCTGCTAGCAGTGCTCCGACGCAGGAGGCTCTGCGCCTACATGCCTGGCAGAGGGTTCGGCACACGGAGCGGCCCCGCAGCAGCTCCTCGCGCTGCTAGGGAATATAACGTCCCCTTCTCCAGGGAGAGCAAAACAAAACCACGTCTACTCTCCCTGAGCTTCAGAGTAAGAATTCCCACACAGAGACACTGTCTTCCCATACCCGGATTTTAATAAGAAACGCAGATAAGCGCGTTCACTCACAATCCGTTCTCTCTACAAGCCATTCACTAACGCTCCTTTCTGAAAGGCATCTGCAAACACCACTGCTCTTCATGCACGTGCCAGAATTTGCATGTCCTGCACAGGCAGCACTGGCTCTGCTTGATCCCACGGAAAGGAGCACGCAGGGAGACGCTTCCCTGCGGCACATGAGTGGCTTCAGTTCCTCTGCGGACACTGCCAAGGAGGGTTGCTGCTCCGGTGCATCCAGGCTAGCTGTGCATAGACTGCTCTTGTGACAGGCAAAACACCTCCAAGCTCCTTCTTCTAGAAACTGGCCTCACTGCCAGAAAGGAGGAGAGCCACAGATCTCCCCACCTTTAGCTGGAACTGTGGCTTTCCAGCCTGCCTGCAGAGTAGCATATTTGGGCACTTCAGCTCAGATGATCCGTCTTTACAGCGCCCCACAGACCGCCTGCTCCGGATCTCAATGTCGATCAATGCTCTGACCTGCTGGAAGCTGCTCGTCTTGCCCTCAGCTGAAGGAAGGTGTCTCTAGCGCTACACATTTCAGCCAGCCCAGCTAGCTGTTAGCCACAGTGTATCTTGGTATCCAGCCAGCAAGCTACAGATTCACAGAGTGGTTGAGGTTGGAAGGGACCTCTAGAGATCATCTAGTCCAGCCCCCCTGCTCCAGCAGGGACACCAGGAGCATGGGGCATAGGGTAGCATCAAGGTGGATTTTGAAGATCTCCAGAGAAGGATACTCCACAGCCTCTCTGGGCAGCCTGTTCCAGGGCTGTCACCCTCACAGGAAAGAAGTTCTTCCTCACATGGAGGTTTCCTGTGTTTCAACTTGCACCCATTAGCCCTTGTCCTGTCACTGGCCACCACTGAGAACAGCTTGGCCCCATCCTCCCTCCATTCTCCCCTCAGGTACTTGTACATATTGATCAGATCTCCTCGCAGTCTTCTCTAGGCTAAACAGGCCCAGCTCGCTTGGTCTCTCCTCATACAGTATAGGCTCCAGTCCCTTAATCATCTTTGTTGCTCTCCATTGGACCCTCCCTAGAAGCTCCACGTCCCTCTTGTACCGGGGAGCCCAGAACTGCACCCAATACTGCAGGTGCGGCCTAACCTGCAACGATGTGCGTAGTTGTTTAAAACACGACAGACTATTTCTCACTTACCAACCACAAAGGCAACAACCAAACTCATATAAGCACAACACAGTCTGCTCCTTGTCCCCGGCCTGCTGGAGCTCTCACGCAGCTGCCTGCAAATGTCCATGTTTGGGATGATCGGTGAAACTTAGACAGCGGAAGAGCATTTCCTCTGCTCCCAGCAGGACCTGCCAGATGCCATAAACAGGTGTCCAGAGGTTTCCACCTGCTCCAATTTACGAGGTGCCTCTGCTTGCGGTTCCTGGCGGCGTCTCCACGGCCTCTGCAAACTGGGACTCACTGATTTTTGGACTCGGCTGCAGCACTGAGGCGTCACGCTGTTGGGGCAGCAAAAGAACTGCAGTCGGGGTGTTTTACGACGTGGCAAAGCTGAATGCGCCATTCTTTATAACAAAGAGAGCCCCTCCATTGCAGCGCGGTAAACTTTCTGCTCCCTTAAGGACTTCTCCTGCAGTAAATCTTTAACTGTTATTGTTAGCAATATTAAAAGGATATTTCAACGGCGGACAAAGTGCTTTACTAACACTAGCTAAACCGCTGAGAATAACCTGCAGTTTTTTGGCGGACGTTTCACAGAAAGCTGAGCTTGAGAAGAGGCAGATGAACCAGGCTTAAAGCAAAATCCACGAGCATGAGCTCACAGAGCACAGCTTTTGATTAAAGAAATGCTGATGCTGACTAACACACTGAACCAACCAACAAAATTCGGAAGTAATCCACCCAGACTTCACCTATTTCCAGTTTCTGAGCTAGACAGTTGCATATGATTTGGTTCAAAATTCTGCATTGGGACAAGCCTGCTATGGCCAATACACACATTGTCCCTGAACTCCTCCTGCAAGTAACTGCAACTGATAACCAGGCGGCCTGGCTCACAACTGCAGCAGTGCTTGTAAGTGAATAAAGGTGCATAGGTGGGAAGGCAGTTTGCCTGCTTCTTGCCTACCATGCTCAAAAATCTCTATTTGTGGAGATAATGGCCTAGGCTCTTGTGATACTATAAACAGACAGCAGGATGTGGGTGAAACTGAAGAATATTTGGGATTTTCAGTTCTTTGTCTTTGGTTGTAATGGTCTCCAAAAGATGCTGCTTCCAACAGTTACTGTTTCCACTGGGCACCACGTTTAGCTGAACAGTTTCATTCTGGGAAATGCAAATGAAATTTTCCCAGGTGTCTCTTCCAACTCATTCTATTCTCTCTGGGCATTTGTGTCTTTTAAATGTATTTGGATTGCTGGGTTCCCTCTGGTTTCCATTAAACATGCAGTACTTCACTCTCTGAAAACAAGAGCTGGTTCATAAAAAGTCACGCACACATGTAAAGCAGAAGGAGGCTGCAGAAAGAACAGGTTATTCTTCTCTTTTTAAGAGTGTGGTATCTCAACCACCTGCTGCAGCCCTGCTGAACGCGGATGCAGGACATTTCCATCTCTCGTATGGGTGTTTCTAAACAACCATAGTGCTACCTGCCAAAGACAAGATGAAATAATAACAGAATAAATGAGCACAATGAAGAATGAAATTTCCCTTCCTCAGAGTGATCTTTTTAGCACAGGTTTCCCAGAATAGCAACTTTTGGGGGGTATTTCTGGTAATAGTCGCCTAGGCTGTAAGTAGGGCCTGCAAAGAAGTATTGTCTTTTGCTCCTATGGTTGCCACGTACCGATGAGCAATTTTCTCCAGGGAGAAGCATGAGTAAAGCAGCACGTGGAGGAGCCAGCAGGGACGCTGAGAGACTCGGTAGCAGAGGGCACCGCAGCCAGCCCTTGGGCACCCAAAGTGTAGGCCAGACCTACCAGGCACCACATTACCATGTGGGGAAAAGTAGCTACGCTGGCTCTCAACACGCTTTATGGGCATTGCACAGCCAGCCCGCTAGAAAGGCAACACTTCTCAGCTCCTAAATGTCAGCTTCTTGGTAACTTCTAGCTCCAAAAAGTAAAGAAGGGCTTCCAGACTAAAGAGAAGAGCAGGTAAGAAAATCAGAGCAAATCAATCCACAACCTGGGGAGATGAGAACAGCTTGGGAACTGGACCCCACGGAAAGAGCTTTCAAAGGGCTTATATCACAGCTATAGCACCTCTAGAAATAGTCATCTTAATAAGAGGGCACAGGGCTTAGTTTTATAAAGTGAGTCCTGTCATATTATTGCCCTGTATCATCATGAAGCAAAATAGAATGCTTTGGGTCCGAGAAGCATCAATATCACAGCTCCAATGGTTTCCTAAGAGCACTGTACTATCATATTATTCATAGATCATGTGGTATAAAACTGCTAACCACTAACAGAAACTAGATGAGGTCACTTCCAAACAGGATGCAGCACTGCAGTAATACACTGTATTTATAGCAAATAAAGTTTTGCAGTGCAAGTTCCTTCAGAGAACAACAAGCCAACATCCATTTAACTATTTGTTTTGCAGCATTTAATGCCAGCATTAAAGCTGTC